TATGATTGTCTTTTTAGCTTTATTAATACAATAAATTGTATATTAATAAATTTGCTAATATAAAACTGTTTTTGCATTTCTTAAATAAATCGCACTCTTCATAACACATTATTTTTAATGTGTTTGAATCTGTTTATGATTTTTGTATTAATATTCTTAAGTCAGATTGGCTTGTGCTTTTTTTTTTTAATGTATGCAATTCTGACCTGGTTTGATATTAATGTTATGTTTGTTCCCAAAAAAGTGTGACTTTTTCCTATACTCCTTTCTTTCTTTCTTTTCTTTTTCTTTTTTTTTTTTTTGCTATTTATTCTGTTTTTTTATGCTCTGAAGTAGTTTAAATAACCTTGGAATTATTTACTTTGAAAAGTGGCAGAATTTCCCTGTGTAAACAAAATATCAAGTAAGAGGTAAATCTAATTGATGTTGAATGCTTATCCCCGAAATAAAGATTGTAGCTTTTTGAAAAGTGCTCATAAAATACTGACTAAAATTAACTACAAAATAATGTAATATTCCTAAGTGGATATATTGCTGACTATGTCTTCTGATTACAATCCAATAAAATTAGAAATTATTAAGAAACTTAAAAACAAAAACAAAAACAAAAAAGAAAACCAAGAAGACTCAATTACTTGGTAAGTTAAAGTGTCTGTGTATGTATTTGTATGTATTGAATATTACTCAGCCATCAAAAAGAATCAAATCTTACCATTTGCAACAATGTAGATGGAACTAGATTGTATTATACTAAACAAAATATGTCAGTCTGAGAAAGACAAATGCCATATGATTTCACTCATATGTGGAATTTAAGAAACAAAGTAGATGAACATATGGGAAGGAAAAAAAAGAGGGAAGCAACCATAAAAGACTCAGCAATAGAGAACAAATTGAGGGTGGGGATGGGCTAAAGGGACGTTAAGGAGTGTCCTTGTTATAATGAACACTGGGTGTTACATATATGTGATGAACCACTAAATTCTACACCTGAAACCACTATCACATTATATGTTAACTTACTGGAATTGAAATAAAAATTTGAAACAAAAAATCAAAACAGAGAAGAAAAGAATTCATGGCAAAATACTCTTGCTTGATCAACACCATAATCTTTATACAATTTGGCTTATCCACACATAATATTCATGCATTATGTTTTTTTTTTCTATGGTGGGGGATATTATATAGATATTTTTACATTATCCTCATCATTGAATGGTTGCATTTGATAAATTTGAGACAAATCTAATGTTTTTTTTTCCTTTATTCTGTCCTCACCATTTTTGCCTGGAATCCCATTTTTTTCCTTCATCTTTAAAATCCAATAACCTTAACAAACTTTAAATAAAATAAATAAAACCACTCTCGGTTATCCTCCTCAATTCACTCAGTGTTGCATTTTTTTCAATATACCTGATTCAAGTAATTTTTTATTCAGTTGTCTTGAATTACAACTTTTTAAAAAAAGTTTTTTCTGATTTTTTATTTTTTTGCTTGTCTTTGGAAATTCCTTTTGGTTATGACACAACAACTTTGCTTATTATAACATTCTCTCTTGACTCTTTTAAATCTTTTTTTCTTTCTTTCTTCTTCTTTTTTTTTTTTTTTCCTTTGGTTTATTTTTTCTCACAGCTGTCCTCTGACCCGGGTGTCTTTTCTAGTTTCCTAACTTCCTTGCATTCTTCCCAAACTCTTTATTTCTTTTATGTGTTTTATTTTTCTTTCCTGATTTTTTCTTGATTTCTGCAAGCTTGTGTTCACCCCTCCTGTTGTCAAGCTATACCAGTCCTATTCCTGCATTTCTACTGGGTAGTTTTGCATTGTATGAAATATTACTTCATTAAGTTTCTGTTGCTTGATTTACTTAACTCCTTGCTTTTTATGTTCCATCAGTTTTCTGGCAACCTTTTCCTGGTGAATGTTTTTGTGTGTGTGTGTGTGTAGATTTCTCTACTTTTACATTTTTCTTGTAAATCTTTGTGACTGCAGTACCCAGTTCTTTCTTTCAGGGGTCTTCACTGAATGAGTTGAATTTTCTTGGATCAGCAATCTGGGAAGACACCTGAACTGGAAGGGGAAAGGAACAGGGTAGCCTTTCAGCTATCTCATTCTCTGACTACTTCCAATTGTTAGGGCTCCTCTTGTTTCTTTATATAAAAATGTCTTTTCTTTTTTAATATAACAGCCGTTCTGAAAATGATCCTGCTCACCCCTGTATTTTACTTAGAATTTTATCAAGGGAGTAGCTTTTGAAATTAAAATAAGAAAATTTGGCCTTCTCTTCAGAAAGTAGAGGAATTTCCTGAAAATTCCTGGAACCTCTTCAAGTGTTACATCACTTGGACTTCTGCTGCTGTGCCCTGGTTCTTTTCTTCCATTGCTCTTACACAGTTTCTACCCATGTAAGCATTTCAGCCAGAGAAACTGTGGTCTTGGGGTAGGTGGGAAGGGGTGTTTGACAGGTTTTGAGGATAAATCACTTGAAATGAGAAAAGAAACACTAAAACTAAGGTTTGGAAGTTATGCTTGGACTAATAGGCTATGAATTTTTCCCTTTAAGAAAAGGGAAGCCATGTGATACTTCAAAGGGTAAAAGCATTAGTTATCTATAATCAACTTTTGCTAACTAATTCTAGATATAAAATTTATATATATAGAAAAATATATGTTTGTGTATATGTATATATAGAAATATATGTATATATATATTCAGAGTATACAAAATAAGCTAATTTTTAGAATTAAAGTTTGAACTAATGAATATGGGTTATAAAATTTTAATTATAGATTTTTTTCTGATGCAACAACAATACATGCTCTCTAGAAAATTCTGATATAGATAAGAATAAAACAAATAAAAGATTTTAACACTTTGACCAGAGTTAAATATAAATGCATTATGTTTTATTGGCTTTTTCATATTTTTATTCTAAAATTAGAATAATATTCTAAATATTGTAATATCCATTTTATCCTTTTTGAATATATATTCTTTTAAATAGGATTTTTACAATGGCTTCAGTAGTATTCCATTGTATGAAAGTAGTATAATTCATTTTATCAGCTATTGACGTTGTAAATAGTATTGTACTCAGGTCCTAGTACATAAATCTTAAGGTACTCTGAATACTGTAATCCAAATAGTCTTTTGAATAAATTGGAAAGAGTAAAAGTCCTGGGACAGGAAATTACACATATTTTTCATATAAATTCTCAAACTGTACTTTTGATAGGTTTTTTTACTTATTATTCTCATGATTAGACAAAGTACTCATGAGACTCCTGAGTGGCTCAGTCGGTGAAGCCACTGCCTTCAGCTCAGGTCATGATCCCAGGGTCCTGGGATTGAATCGCACGTCAGGCTCCCTGTTTAGCAGGGAGTCTATTTCTCCCTCCTCCCTGCTTATGCCCTCTCTCCCTGACAAATAAATAAATAAAATCTCAAAAAAAGAAAAAAAAAAAAAGACAAAGGACTCATTTCTTTTTCTTTGAATCTTTGATGAAAATAGGCCTCATTTTTTAAAAAATGATTTTGCCAATTTGATACATGAAGTATGGTCTCATTTTTATGATACTTCACATTTTAAAAATTGTTACTGAGATTGAGCCTTTTTTTTCTGAATTTGTGGGACATTTACATTTCTCCTTTTATAATGGCTGGGTAGCTTCAGAGGCATTGCCCCTTCTCTGATGAAAAACTGGGTGAAAACTGATAGGTGCCAAGTAGCAGTCTTCTCCCCATCATTGGTTTGTTTTTTGTGTCTGTCTTTTCAGCATAGTATTTTAAATATTTAGGTCTATCGATATTTGCCTCTGTATTTCCTTTTGATTTCATAGTCAGAAATTTTTCTTTTCAAAACCGTATAAATATGTGAATATCTTTTCTTTACCCTTGCATTTTTTGCAATGTGACAGTTATAACTCACTAAATTGTTACAGGATCTGAGAACTGATCTTATATTTTTTCATTTTTTAAAAAAGATTTTTTATATTTATTGGAGAGCACGAGAAAGCAGATGTGAGCAGGGAGAGGGGCAGAGAGAGTGGGAGAGGCAGAGAAGCTCAAACGGACTCTGCACTGAGTGAAACCCAACCAGGGGCTTACCCTCATAATCCCAAAATCATGACCTCAGCCAAACCCAGGAGTCCTAACTGACTGAGCCACCCAGGCACCCTTGTTTTTATATTTTCTGTCATGTTCCATTGATGCTTCATTCACTGGTCCTGTGCACATTAAGCATGCTAATAGTATTAGATACAACACACTCACCATTAGAGTCTTCTGTTTCAAAATTTATTATTTTCACTCATACATTCTACATAAACTGAAAAATATTTTGCCCAATTCTAACAAAGTGCCTTTGAAATTTTTATTTTGGCAGCATTAAAGCCCAAAATTTCTTTAGACAGAACATAGTACCAGAAATATTGAGTTTCTATTTCTCAAATTTTATATTTTTCTTTGTTATAATTCTTTTCCTCTAATATGCACACACACACATTTATATGACTTCATGCTATTTATTAATCTCACTGAAATATGACATGAGTCAATTTCCTTAGAAAGTTATTCAAGAATTTTTGCATAGTTATATAGGTTATTCTAACACCATTTCTCATTAAGGAGCCTATTGTGAAAAATATATTATTGCATTAATTGCTTTTTCTTTTTGACCTTACACATTCGTTTTAAAATCGAAATAAAAGGTCAACATTTTCTTCACTTTAAATAAGAAAAAGATCCTTAAATACAGATTTTCGGATGATTTAACATCACAAAAATAATATAACTAGTAATAAGAATAAAACTGATTTTTATCCTCATTCTTGATAAGGTTATAAATATTAATTGCCTTATGATATCATCTAACATGTATATGCTTAAATATTTGATGACTTGCATCACAAATGATTTTGGTATGCAGACCCCAGATTCCTGTGTTAATTGCAGTTATTTTTATAGATCAAAATATCTGATGTTGTTATTTACGTTTTAGGTTAGTGGGATGGTTTGGCCATGAACTCAGCACCCGATTTAAGATGGATAACAGTAAGTGTATTCAGTTTCACTTCCAAGTCATTTCATTTTACCTTTATTTCAATTTTCATCTGTCTTCGTATGATATGTAATGTACATGCCTCATGGAGAGTGCACTTTGAAAATGCCACTGAGAATTCTTAAAATAAGAAATGACATTTCCAGAGTGTAAGACTAAGTGTTTGTAGATTTTAGCATGAATTTGAGTCTATCCCTTTGTAGGGAGATAAGTGGAAGGGAAATGTAATGTACAGGACTGAGATCTCATCAACACTGAGGACCCAAAACACCAGGCAGTGAGGACAGAAAGGAATGATTTGCTTGTAGTCAGACCCGGAGAGACAGGTGTCAATCCCACTTTGCTGCTTAATCGTTTTATGATGCTGCACAAATTACATCATCTTGGGTTTTTTGTTTTCCTTCTCGCATATCTAATGTGAATAATAAAATCTGTGTCTCTCGGGGTCTGATGGGAGAGTGAGACAGGTTCAAAGTTGTAAACCAAGTAGCACGTACATAATAGTGCTATCGAATAAATGTTCATTTTTAGCTCTCTTTTGTCAGTTTTTCCTTTTGTGGCTTTTGCCACACACCAAACAATAGCAGTTGAACCCCAGCAGGTAGAAATAAAAGTACACCATGTGCGGCGTGCTGCCACACTGCCCTACTTTTTCCTGAGTGACTGACTCTATTCTTCAGTCACGTCAGAGACAGAAAGCTTCCTAAATGTTTTGAGAGTTTCAGTTCAATTTGACCCTTCAGACTGCTACCAACCTGAATTAACTATATTAAATAAATTCACATTTGCAAAAATCAAGATACAAATGATTAAGTTGGACTCTTTCATTCAAATCAAGAAACCTATATTTTATCCTGGCTGCTGGAATAATTAGCTCTGTGGTTATGCCAGTTACTTAAATCTTTTGTGATGGGTTTTCTTATCTGTAAACGAGAGAATTGGACTGTATCAGGAGTGGGCAAAGTCTCTCTCTGAAGGGCCAAAGATGAGATCTTTTAACCTTTTGTAGCTATGCTGTCTCTCTGGCAAATACTCAGTTCTGCCATTGTACTTCTAACATGGTCATAGACATAAATGAGTGAATGTGGCTATGTTCCAGTGAAACTTTGTTTAAAAAACAAGTCGAGGGCCAGATTTGGTCCCCAGGACATAGTTTATTTAGCCCTGGATTAGATGTGTCTCTAAAGACCTAGAATACGTTCTAATGCTCTTTAAGTCAGTCTTAGCTTTCATTCGATCCCCAACTAGCAATCTTAACTCTATTGCACTTGATTGGCTACTATTCAATCTAATTGATTCTAATTAGGATAATATCTGTTATTAATTTACCTTATAAATATATCATATTAAATCATTTTTTTAAAAGATTTTATTTATTTATTTGACAGACAGAGATCACAAGTAGGCAGAGCAGCAGGCAGAGAGAAAGGGGGAAGCAGGCTCCCCGCCCGGCAGAGAGCCCGACGCAGGGCTCAATCCCAGAACCCTGAGACCACGACCTGAGCAGAAGGCAGAGGCTTAGCCCACTGAGCCACCCAGGTGCCCCTTAAATCATTTTTTCAAAAGCCTTTGTCCTCCCCTAGTAGAAGCCAAATGACCTAATAATCTTAGTGCTAAAAGTCACTTTTCTAGGTCATTTCAATCATATTTCTGCCTTTGGATGGCATTACAATTACAAACCATTAGAATCTTGACATGGCTTTCTAGTAGAAAAAGCAAAGCATGGGCAGAATAAGGAATGCTGATTTGGGAGTGGGAGGACAGAGGATGTGGTTCAGAGTACAAAAGATCATTTTTATGGTCTAAGAGCTCTAGGATTTGGTAGGCTGCTATGAAAATGGGGGCAGGGGAGACAGACATTGCAGGTGAAGGGGAAATATGCCACAGGTCCATGGAGTTTCTTTTAAATACCTCAGAAAGCTTAGTAATAAAAGGTTTTAAATATTACTCTTTCTCTCTACTACCTCAGTGTCATTAAAAAAAAAAAACCCACAGAGGACATTTTTTAAGGTACATTGTATTAAAAAAATGACATGATGTTCGTTTTTCAGAGCTACAGTTAATCCCTGGGGTCAGTGGATTTCGAATTTCAAACCCTCCCATTTTGTTGGTCTGCTCCTTACACGCTAGTTTAGAGGTAAGTGATCTATGCTTCAACTTCACACATCCTATATTTTTTTAAGATTTATTTACTTATTTATTTATTTGACAGTGAGAGAGATCACAAGTAGGCAGAGAGGCAGGCAGAGAGAGAGAAGAGTAAGCAGGTTCCCTGCTGAGCAGAGAGCCCAATGCGGGGGCTCGATCCCAGGACTCTCATCGTGACCCGAGCCAAAGGCAGAGGCCTTAACCCACTGAGCCACCCAGGAGCCCTTTCAACTTCGCACATCTTGACCAATGTCTTTACTTGACTATGACCTGTCGTAGGACCATCTCTGCTAAACAGGAAGATTAATGTGCACTGTTTATAAACAGTGATCAAAGGCCAGTGTTCTCCTTCAGGACAGTGACTGTGGCCTAATTGCCATCTTTTATTTCTATCCCCAGCCTTAGCACTGTGCTTGGCACATAATAAACGTTGGCACTTGATAAATGTTTTGGAACTGAGCCAGGGAATACGTATTTTTAGTTCCACTTAGAATTTGTATGAACTTAAATGAGTTGTTCAATCTTCTCATGGTCTCTCTATTACAAAATAACCATGCAATATTTAATTCTTCATTAATTTACTTATTCAGCATTTATCTATTAAAGTATTATGTGCTGGACATTGTTGTGATTACTGGGGACTCTGCTGCTGCTGGTTCTGGGAATCAGTGAAAAGTGTCATGTCACAAAGTGCCATGTCACAAAACTATATACTTAAGGGAAAAAAATAGAGTCCTTCAAAGTAGCCAAAGATTGAATAAGGTTGTCTCATGAGGTTAAGTTGATTTTTTTTTTAAGTGGAGTGTCTGTGGCATTATATTCTTTTTTTTTTAACTTTATTTTTTATAAACATATAATATATTTTTATCCCCAGGGGTACAGGTCTGTGAATCGCCAGGTTTACACACTGTGGCATTATATTCTTGTATAATCTCTACTACTACTGTCTCAATATAGATTTTTTGGTAAATTCATACTTATAGTTAAAATTAGTTTTACCCTAATCAATAATATGCAAGGAATCAACTTGGTTTTCTAGATGTGCTTATCTACCTTTCTACCTATTTATAGAAATAGATACTTACCTACTCTACCTGTCCATTTATGTTTATATTAATATTCATATGTATATCTATGTAACTTAATTATTTGGATGTTAATTAATTTCACTATGAGACTAAATTTATTTAAGTAAATATATATTAAATAATTATATGCTATATAATTAATATTAATACATATATTAAGTAAATATATTTTTATATACATACATAGAGTAAAATATATTTTAGGTAGATATGTAGGGTTTTTTGTAAATATGCATTTCTAACAGATTTTAAATATATAGCTATTCAAAAGAGAATTTCACTTTTTTAACTTAAAGTGTTTTAAAATCATCTAGTTTGTGATATTTTAGGAAATCCTGTTGTGGAGTATTTCGGAATGAATGACTGGATAGACTTCGAAGATCTTTTCTAAACCTAAATTCTAGGATTTTGTGACCACGCAAAGCAGTTTCTCACTTTGGCCACTGGGTGGCAGTGTCAAGTTTTTTTTTTTTTTTTTTTGGTTTTTGGTTTTTTTTTAATTGAAAAATAGACCCAGTAACAAGATTTTCTCAGCCAGTGAAAAAAAAATTTTTAATTGTTTTAATTTTTTTGGGGGGGAGTAGTGAGAGAATCTGCTAGTCAGATAATGATATTTGAATTGTTTTTATACTATCTATTCAGAGCAATGCTTCTGTTAAATGTCTTAAAATGAAATAAAAGTTTGCTCACTTTGCAAGTTTGTATCAGGAAGAAAATAAGTTTCAGTGTGAAAAGCACCAAGGTGTACCTTAGGAAGAACTAGTACTTAAAGTTATTTGGTCTGATTTTCCTTATCTTTGCAAATGGGTTCTCAGCCAGATCTAGAAATTTTAGACACTCTAACTTGAGTATGTTTCCGCAATGGACTGGTTTCAAGTGTTTACCCCTTCTGCCATGAAAAAGAAGTCACATTTTCAGTTTTTCTACCACTGGTTCTCCAGGCTAGGCTTGAATGATAAAAAGCACAGAAATGTTTACCGCCATATCACACTGTATTATAGTCACCTGGACAAAGTTTTTGTTTTCAGCTGGAATCTGAAGATTGATTTATTTTCTTTCCTTAACACTTAAACTTAGCAAAAACACTCTAAAACCAAAAAGAAGTGGGATTGTACTTCTCTGCAGCATCTTATCACTTAAGTATTTCTCTTGAGCCTCTTAGAAATACCTTACTTAAGTTATTTGCTGCTGGGCTCCATTCTAACCAAAATTATTTTTATTATTATTATTTTTAAAGATTTTATTTATTTATTTGACAGACAGAGATCACAAGTAGGCAGAAAGACAGAGGGAAGCAGCTCCCTGCCGAGCAAAGAGCCTGATATGGGGCTCGATCCCAGAACTCTGGGATCATGACCTGAGCCGAAGGCAGAGGCTTTAACCCACTGAGCCACCCAGGTGCCCCTAACCAAAATTATTTTTAACTAATCCAGCATTGTGTTGAAAAAAGTGTTTTTTGAAATTCTTCCTCCCCATTATAAATTGCAAAATTCTGAAATGACAAAACAATGCATCTCTTTGCTTCTTATTCTTTACCTAAGCACTAAAATGTTCTACTCCCTAGATGCCACGTGAGTAAGCATGAGGGCTGCCATTATGTTGTTCCTGCCCTTGTTTACAGAATAGCATTATAAGAGACGGGTAATTAAAGTTCAAATAAATGAGAAATAGATGCATGAATCAAAGTGCCTTTTCTTGTTGTAGCTACTTGTCTTTCAAAAGATATCCAGCATAGTCAGAAATCAACTGGAGGAGAGATTCTAAACCTAAGAATCAGTGCACATGGATATGATACCAGTTTGACAATATGATCTTTTAAAATATTAATACGATTTTGTTTATAATTACTTATGCATTCAGTTGAATGATGGTATGAAAAATAGCACCTTATAATCATTTTCAAATTGTCTTTTTCTTTATATTATTGGCTATTTATACCACATATTTTTTTCTTTTTTCTTTTTAAGATTTTATTTATTTATTTGACAGACAGAGATCACAAGTAGGCAGAGGCAGGCAGAGAGAGAGGAGGAAGCAGGCTCCCCACTGAGCGGAGAGCCCGATGCAGGGCTCCATCCCAGAACCCTGGGATCATGACCTGAGCTGAAGGCAGAAGCTTTAACCCACTGAGCCACCCAGCTGCCCCTATACCACATATTTATATAGTACAAATAGAAATATGTATGGTACAAATATGGTACAAAATATGGTAGCAACCAGGAGGCATACTGTAGCCCTCATTGGGACACTGAGTGTGACCTTAGGTGACAGCTGTCACTTGACTACATGTACTCTTGAGTTCATTTGTCTCATTTTAAAAATGAAGATATTTATAGAAAATTACTTCAGAAATCTCAGTCTTCTAACTGCTAACTTGAAATAAAAAATATATCTGTTGTATTTTGAAGGGCCATACTTGTATTCAGTGATAGGTAGACGATTTTTAGACTCTTTCAGTATATGAATTTATAATGAAATAAATAGCTCCAAAATACAAAATTGGAGCATTCAATTAAAATATACAGCAAGTAAGAAGAAGTATACTGTGTGATTCCTCAGAAAGTGATTAGGTAGCCTATTTTAAGAATTTAAGAGAAAAAAATGTGACAGTAGAAAACATCATACTATACTTATTTTTTCCCATTTAAACTTCTCTTTTTTAGCTTTGTATTCATTTTTCTTAGTAAGAAAAATAACCAATGTAGTTGAAATTCTGCCAAAAATTGTTATAAGCTGAATATTTTCAAACTACAGTTTTCAGTTTTTTTAATTAAAAAAAACTCTTTCTCAGTACGGAAAGCATAGAAATAATGAGACACCAAAAAGAAATTTATTGTATTCTTCAGTTAACTCCTGTTATCCCCTCTTAATATTTTTTTAAAATATTTAATTTTTTTATTTGAAAGAGAGAATGAGAGAGAGAACACGTGTGCCTACGAGAGTGGGGAGGGGCAGAGGGAGAAGCAGACTCCCTGCTGAGCAGGGAGCCGGATATGGCAGTGGATTCCAGGATCATGACCCAAGTTAAAGGCAGTTGCTTAACCAACTGAGCCACCCAGCCACCACCACCCCCTTTTAATATTTGTATGTGAGTTCTCAGAACAGACCTTTACAGCCTCTGACAGGATTTTAAGAGTGCCTCATAGTCTAGTTGCCCTTACTGTGGTTTAATGTTGGAAAATGGTTTCATATTTAAAAGTTATTTTATTATCAAAGAGTAACGGTATGTTAAATTTGGGACTACTTGTCATAAAATAATGGGTTTCTAGCTATCAGAGAAATCTGCAAGAACAAAATCTCCTTTAAAAAAACCTATAAACTTAAGTAATATTCCCCAAAGTCTTGCTAACCTAAGAATACAAATGAAATATCATTAAAAGTAGTACTTCACACATTGCTCCTACCTGTATCTTATGGGGCTTATAGCAGAACCAGAAAAATTTTCAGAATTGTTTATAAATCAAATGTTCCTTGAATTAATATTAATCTCCAAAGAGAAGCTTGGAAAAATTCCTCTCCTATTCTTTTATTCCTATCCTGCCAACAAAATCACTGATGGGTCGTGCTTTGCTTCTCCCTGCTCCTGCCCTCTGTAAGAACTGATTCTTGATTCAGGCTCTCTTGATCCAAAAGTTGGCTGTGTTCCCTTGAGTCCGCCTTGTGCCAGATCCACTCACATTTTGTTTTGCAGCAGACAGTGAAGAGATGGCTCCTGTCAGACGCCATGTAGCTCGGGCTACCTGAGTGACTCGGGTTACCTCCTTGTACTGCCCGTCCCAGATACCTTCTGAGATCTACACAACTCGACCTGCTTCCACAGTCTGTGATGTGTGGTTGAGGACAGAGACCAATGCCATTCTGTCCTGTTTCTCCCATCTTCCTTGGATACTGTTACCTTCGATACAAATCCCTTTTGTCTCCTTCAGCCAAATCTGCAGCTTCCATTCCATACAGATCAAGGAAATCTTTGCCCAGATGGTTTGAGTTCTATTAGAATGCCTGCTCACACATGCCCCATGCATATACAGAAATAACTATTTCCCCAAGCTTCATAAAGTCTAGATGTCACTGAACGACCCTGTCTTTGCTCTGTGACATACATGATACAGAAAAGGGATATTAAGTGACATGCCAGTGCATCACGCTGTTTGAAGTTCATTCAGTTCTTATATGTGGGATATATTTTTAAACTCTGCTTGACCTTAAGAGATAAGCTAGAAAAGCATGTCTGCTTTGACCTCTAATGTTCCAACAACAGTTACTGTGTGTACTTGTCACTCATCTTAATATAAGACACCTCGGGCAGCAAATGGCAGTGTGTTCACACCAGTGCTGGAATTTAGCAGGGGAAAAAATGTTGAAAGAAGAGGGAAAGATAAAAGGAAAGAGTGAGAGGGAGGAAGGAAAGAGAGACAGAAACACACACACAGAAACACGAGCCTAACGGCCTCAGTACTAACATATATATTATCTAACATTACTTGCTTCCCTGTCTGACAATACTTGTTTTATTATTTAACTGCTTATTTCCTTACTGTTAACTGGGGAGATTCAGAAATTGGTAGGACAATTAAAAGTAATCTCAGTCACACTGCCTTTCATATGTACAAGCGTGTTTAGCCCTTATTATACTGTGTGGATCAAAACACTATCAGAATAGAAAAAAAAGAAAGTCTTCTTGATTGTGATTAAGTAAAATGGTTGTGAGGAAAAGGTTTGAATTTCATGATCTTTAAATGCATTTGTTAAGGTATGTTTTACTTACATTAATTATACTAAGTTGATTTAAAATAACTCTAAAAGAATGTTATCCTAACTTATTTTTCTTCTTCTTTTGTAAGTATTGTTTAAATGACATTTGTACGGTTTTTCCTGTCACAGCAACTTTGTATTCGGCTTTCAGTGGCTAAGCATTTAAAAGAGGACATGTTTTTACGAAGGATTATCTAAAACGGGATGTTTTTGGAAAGGTCGAAAGTGGGCATTTCCTTTTTTAACATGGTTCTCAGTTAATTTTTGCTTCATTGTACAACAACAAGACACTGTTAATCAGATCACTTCTTATTCTGTAGATCTTTAAGCAAGCAACTATGAAAGCATTGAGGAGAAAATCTATTTTGCTCACTGGTTATCTGGAATACTTGATCAAGCATTATTATAACAAAGATAAAGCAGATACCAAGAAACCATTTGTGAACATAATTACTCCAGCCGGCATAGAGGACCGCGGATGCCAGCTTACACTAACGTTTTCTGTTCCAATAAAATGTGTTTTCCAAGAACTAGAAAAACGAGGAGTGGTTGTAAGTATATCTCTTGCTTTGCTACCCGGTTTTCTCTCTGGGTTGCATGTTGGGGATAAAATTTGGGTTCTTTGGTTAATTTACTGTTGCATGTTATTTCACATCGGTCAGTCAATGAGGATAGATTGCCAACTAAATATTCATCACTGTGCTAATTGAAGGCACAGAGCTCTGTCGTTTTTGATAAAAGGGAAGAAACCACAAATTTTGAATATAGGAACCCGTCTTCTATAATTCATTCATTCTTTTCATTACAGTTTGAGCCGAAAAAAAAAAATGTTTCATTATAATCAATTAGGACATGTTTTCACTAGTTTTTACCAGTGAAAGCCCAAATATGTATGTTTATTGAATATACTGAATTAAAGAACATAACATAGTGGGGAGGAAGAAAAGAAGTCAGTCTTATTTAGCTGTTTGTTTGAGCCGAGTCATTTCAACCTTGTCATTTAGTCAAACAAGAACTGCAGACTCATCTCAGGGGTGTTAACATTGTAGGGAATTTTTTTTTTTTTTTTTAAACCTGAGGCCCTTAATGATCTGTTTATAGTCTCTTGAAGAAAATAAGCATTAGTAGGGTCATTTCAGGAGAAACGGTGGTCACGTATCTATCTCCAGGGATAGCGTACTTTAGGAATTGCTCCACTCGTGTGGTCCTGTCACTCCCGAGGAGAGGGTATCTCAGATTCCAGAGGCACGGATCCGTACCTCGGTGTTCCAAGTCAAGTTTTACCATTTGTAAGCTGTGTGCTCTAGGAAAGTTAATTTACCTCTATTGGTTTGAGTTTTTGCATCTGCATTTTGGGAGCAAAAATGCCTCCAAAAGTAGTTGTGAGAATTAAGTGGTCCAGTGCACATAAACCAAATATTGAGTGTGCTAACTCACAGTGGGTATTTTTTGAAGATCAGTCATAGCGATCTTCAGTCTAGACCAAATTATTTGGGTCCATTTTGTGACATTTCAGAGATAGCGCCAACTCCTTACTGATGTTATAAGAGATTAAAGGATCCAACATAAAGACTGTTGACTAAAACTCTCCATGTCCCGGGATGTTCTCATTGATTTGAATTCACCCAAGGGTTCTAGTCTCTCCAGAGTCTCCCCACCAGTAAATTATATCCATGACTTACTGAACACTTCAAGATGATTGCTGAGTAGATTTCAGGAAAACTTTTGGATACACATGATATTCATATTTTAGCTATTATTAAGAGGAGAGTTTCCAATAACACAGAAACATGCTTTACTACAAGTAAAAAAAAAAAAATGTTTGTATATTAAGTTTTAGGGAAATCAGCATGATTGCTTTATGTAAGTTTATCTTGCATGTAGATTTTTCATCATGTGAGTAATGATAACGTTATTGTGATTTTATATCCTACCCCCCCCCACAGTGTGACAAGCGAGAACCAAATGGCATCCGAGTGGCTCCAGTTCCTCTCTACAACTCTTTTCATGATGTTCATAAGTTTATCAGTCTACTCGCTTCTGCACTTGACTCTGCAGGGATCAAAAATAGCAGCGTTTTCTAGAACAACTTCAGCAAGTGTTACTGAGAGTTTCTATGGTTATTGTATTATTATTTTCAAATTTTAATGATTAGAAGTTTTCCAAAACTGATTACACATACTTGGCAATGAATTATATACTTTACAGAAAAATCTGATATATTTTTTCCAAGAGTCTGTGATTCTGAGGAATCCACGTGTCTGTCCAATTTCTTCATGCTTGGTGGATCAAAGTTTTACTGGTCTAAGTATTATGTACACAATCTTAGCTGTCACATTTCATGGTCAGTGAATGTTTTATGTTGACTTAATTTATAATTTGACAACTTCATAATGTATGTGCAGTCTTTTGTGTCAATTTTAGAAATGTTACTTTAGTTTTAATTTACCAAAGAGTTTCTTATAGTCACTATAATTTCACAGTCTGATATATGCATGATTTTGCAATATTCCATCCAACTCTAAGGAAGAAAAAATATATTTTCTAGGACGGTAGCTTTCAAATATTTTGGCCATGGCCCACACTAAGAAATATATTTAATCTCAGAGACTAATATTTATATGTGTTTATACCTTACTTACTGATTCTAATATACAAATTATATCATATTTTAACATCTGTGAAATAATTTATTTTTCAGTTTTTAGTCAACAATTCTTATAGTTGCCACTGACCATTCTGTCATGTTACCATCCCTGGCATTAACATGCTTCTCACAGTGAACAGATGATTTTTAAAAAGAGGCATCTATAGAAAAAGCAGAAGTGTCATAAATTATTGGTCTATGCTCTACTATTTATTATTCATTTTATCTTATTACAGCAAGTGTTGGTTGAGACTTATTACATTTATTTCCCAACTAACTCTTGGGTCCTAATCCATTTTACAAAGTTGTCCCTTTATTTGAAAGTACCGTAATTCCTTATTTTTTTAATGGGGACGTGTGCTGATAGAAATCTGTCCATGGTACCTGTCTCTGCAGTGGTGAAACAAGTCATCCTGAGATACTTGCGACTAAGAATTAGAATTAGCAAATGAGTGCTTCATCTCTCCCCCTCTGACCCGAATCTATGGGCCATTCTTTCCACTAGGAAACTACAGTCACACTCAACCCTTAGGACTTTCCTGGTTTTCAGCTGTTGTTGCTATAGCTACTATTCATGAATTGGCAAAATAGTCTACATTCTTATACCTGGGCAGGAAGAAGGAATGACTACAACATAATTAGTACCCCCTGATGAACAAATTTGAATGAAATTAACTTAGACGGCCATTAGAGTTAAATAAAAAGATGCAGAACTGACAGCAGTATCAGCACCTACGGTGAGAAATGTATGGAGTACTCACCATGTACCATGCGTGGTGCTGATCTATTCATACATTATCTTATTTGACCCTGTACAACTTCACAGAGAAGAAATCGTTTTGAATCTCACAGGAGTAAGCAAAACAGACATGGTTTCAGTTCTCAGGAAACATGCAGCTTAGTGGGAGAAAGAGGTAATAAAATATATAAACACCCAAGTAAATAAATATATGATTACAAACTATAGGTTTTATGAAACAAAAACAGATGATACTATAAGAGAAAAATCTCAAGGGTATTAATTAGATGGCCAAGTAAGGGTATATGAAGGTGATTGTAAGTTTCAAGTTCTTAAATACTGTGCAAAAAATTAAAAAAAAATTCTTGCTAATCACATTAAAATCACATCAAATTATGTATACAAGTTACTCAAAGAATAATCAGTACTATGTCCTCATCACACAGGCTAGGAAGCAGAGTATTAGAAATGCCCTTTTTCCCTGCTTGTATTCCCCTTCCTCCCCAAATCCAGAGATAACCATCAAATAATATTTTGTGTTAATCATTCCCTTACTTTCATTGAAGGTTTATATCTATGTATGTACACATAAAAATACATTAGCCAATACTGTCTGTGTGTGAACTTTGTGTAAATATAATTGTATATATTCTGCTTCTTTTACTCAAAACCTAGTTTTTGAGATTTACTCATTTGTTACATACAGCTTTGTACCCATTTTCATTGCTGCTCAGTGTTCTGGTATATAATTGGAGTTACTAATTTAGTATTTATTTTTGGAGTTACTCATTTTTCCATGACTAATGAACATTGAGTTTTTCCAAATACCTTTAACATTGCAACAATGCTGCTATTAATATTCTTGGTACACAGGTTCAAATGTTTGCCTAGGACATATAACTCTGAAAATGTCGGGTCATAGGACACACACATGTTCAACTTCACAGTGCAACATTAAACTCTTCTCCCAAGAGGTTGGACCAGTTTCCATTCTAACCAGTAGGAAATGAGAGTTTGCCAATAGTAGCTGCTGATCGCTTTTGTCATGTATGCTGGCTAAAATAGGGTGATTACTGAAATAACAGAATGAATGTATAACTTCCATAGAAGTAGGAGGAACATAGTGAAGACATATACATACACTGTGGTTTATGCTTCAGAAACTGTCCTTAATCTGTGGATTGAGCCAACACTAGAATTTTACCTGAGTTTTACCCTTGCTCAGCTCTTTTCCTTTCCCATGTTGTCTGAGAACTTGTCTGAAGATTTTCCTGATGAGCTCCCCTTCAATGAAACATAATAATCCAGGGGTGCCTGGGTGGCTCAGTCGGTTAAATGTCAGACTCTTGGTTTCCACTTAGGTCACGATCTCGCAGGTCGTGGGATTGAGCCCTATGTGTGGCTCCATGCTCACTGGAGAGTCTGCTTGAAAATTCCCTCTCTGCCCCTCCTTCTACTCACTCTCAAATCTTTTTAAAGAAAACTATATTAATACAAATCCCAGCCAAAGCTCTGTTTTTAGGAAAGTCAATCTGAGAATATCTTTCATCTAGTTTTAATAACCATAAGCTTTTTATATTCTATATCTAGCATATGGTAAATTTCAGTTGTTTCTGTTGGTTTTCACAAATAATGCTTATTTTCTTGTGTGTATTCTACTTGTTAACTTTTCTTTTTTCTTTTTTCTTTTCTTTTTTTTTTTTTGGCTAACTTTAAACCACTCATTTTATTGCCCCCCCCCGCTTGGAATTATTTGAGAACTGGGTTAAAGTATATCTTTCTAAAGATACTCATTTTTGCTTCTGCCAGTTACTCAGGGTCATTTCTAACACAAGAACACTTAAAATTTTTTTTTAAGATTATTTATTGGAGTGGGGAGGGGGAGATTGAGGGAGGGAGAAACTTTAGCTGACTCCCTGCTGGGGGCAGAGCTGATGTGGGGCTCCATCTCATGACCCTGAGATTACAATCTGAGCCAAAAACAAGAGTTGGATGCTTAACTGTGTCACCCAGGCACCCCTAAAGTTTTTGTTTTCAGTGTTTTCAGATCACATGGGTAGTATGAGACTGGATGTGTTAATCCTTAAAAGGGCCAATTTAGAGTTGCAAATTCTCTGAAGATACTAATTTTTCTTGCTGTTCTTTTACATATTCTTTGGTTGCCAACATTATGTAGGACTCTTGGATCAGTTTACTTAGTTGGCTGGTCCTGAGCTTGTTCAATGTCTCATTTAGTTACCAGCACGGAAGCTCAATGACTCCAGGATATGGCAGGAACTCTTAAGATGAAAACCATACTTTTACTTCCCAGGTTCCTGCTTTTATTTTATTTTGGGGTTTTTAGAATTTCTTACTTTCATGCCATCTCATTTTAAAAGGCTTTTTCTGGCCACTGATTTTTACTTTTGTTTTCCAGTATCTAACCCCCAACAATATGTTAAATTGTCATGTTTTATGACTAGAAACAAATATTAAGCACTTCCTATTTTCCCCATAGAAAATGAATTGTGCCTTTTTAATAGTTCATGCACATTTATATAAATGCAATTCTTTTAGAGTGATACCCTTGGGAGCTATGATAATACATAGAGCTGTCTGTGTAACACTGAAGTATACTTACCATACAAAACTGACTGGGGGAAAGGCTGGGTGTGAGGGCAATAACTAAATTTCAAATTAAAGAAACTTTTTCAACAGATATTTTCTGCTAGGTAACTTTCTTCTTGAGGTCAAAACTGTGTGAGTTCACATTCAAATTGTGTTCTGCTTTTGTTCCATAAACTGAAATTGTTAGAGCATTGAATTTTAAGTAAATGGGTTTTTGCATCACCTTAAGAAAACTGTGAACACCCTGAAAGCATCATATCGTAAAGCACAACATTGGACATCACTGAATTAAGGCATCCTCTAACTGAGATGATGGGTTTGATGCTTGTGTGGGTCATTAGCATCTATATTATGTGTTTTTGAAAGATAAAATTCATGTTCTGCCCTCTAGTGATATATTTTAATCTCAGCAAGACATTTATAAAGAGGAGTATTATGGACTAATGCATTTAAACATTTATGATGTGTTTTAGTTTATTCCAATTATTTTTATCAATGCTCCAGTTTTCTAATTTCTGACTCTTCTAATTTCAGCTCCTGAGTCCTTTTGATATTACCTTAACTTTTTAAAAAATATTTATTGCTTTTGGTGTAAGAAGATGCATGCTCACCTTGTATATTTCTTATCTCAATCCTGACATCACTTATTTCTCTAAGAATATGTGTTGCTTTTGGAAGAAAATGATATTTAGAAACCACAATCTAAACAGTAAGAGTGCTCATTATAATCAAGTTAATCATAGTTTCCAGGATTTTCAGTTGGCAGAGTTAGGAAATATATATTTTAAGAGAAATTGTATTTAAAATTAGACAGTAACTATGTCCTTGATGTGACGCAACATGAAGGAGGCAGCATCACTTGCACAATAGTGTCGGGAATTGATGAACTTGAATCCAGTCAAACTCTTAGGGCTATTTTCCAGTGTAAAAAAAACTATGGGGCATAGAGAAGTTAAATGGCCCCACAAAGAAGCAAATGTGGGGGATGCTACATGGCAGCTCACTGGGTTTCCTAAACAAGTCAATGGCATGAATATGGAAGAGGTGAGGGAGAATGGACTGTTCTCGTGTAGTGAAACCAAAGAGACATTAGTAAATGCAATTTGTGGATTTTCTTTGGATCTTGATTCAAATACCGTCTTACAAGGAGTAGTAAATCCAATTACTGTGTTTCAAAGGTAATGTGAGGCCACCTGGGTGGCTCAGTAGGCTGAAAGTCTACCTTTGGCTCAGGTCATGACCCTGGAGTCCCAGGATCGAGTTCTGCATTGGACTCCCTACAAATTTGCTGCTCCCTCTCACCCCCCTCCCATCTCATGCCCTCTCTCTCACTCCTTCCCAAATAAAATAAAATAAAAACATTTAAAGGCAGTGTAATAACTCTTGTGTGTATGGTGATAGCACTAGTATAGTACCAATAAAAATGCATTGCTGAGAGAATTGAGGACATACTGACAGGGAAGAATTTTATTCAACTTGTTAGCTATGACAGCTACTTAGGATGTAAGAAGATACGCATATTTTTAAATAGATACACCCAGCACATGGGAATGAAATGATACAAAGTCTGGAGTTGGCTTTGAAATTCCTTTGC